TTTGTCGTCACCACGGACGCGAGTCAGTATGGGATAGGCGCCGTGTTGCAGCAAGACGACGGCAATGGCTATAGACCCGTAGAGTTCATGTCAGCGAGGATTCCCTGTGAAAAGGTTGTTGCCTCCACGTACGAGAGAGAACTCTACGCTCTCAGGCAGGCTTTAGATCATTGGAAGCACTACCTGCTTGGGAGTCACTTCAAAGTGTATTCGGACCACGAAACGCTTAGATGGTTAAGGACTCAGGCCAAGATGACACCTAAGTTGACTAGGTGGGCCGCAAAGATAGACCAATTCGACTTTGAGCTCAAGCCAGTGAAGGGCAAGTACAACGTAGTTGCGGATGCTCTGAGTAGGAGATCAGACTACTTTGGAGCTGTAGTACACTATCTGGATATAGGGAGAGACCTGCAGGAGAAAGTGAGGCAAGCATATGCGCAGGACCCTATCTATAGCGACCTCCTAAAGAGAGTTAGAGAGGCCCGAGAGACTGAACCAGCTTACCGCACTACAGACGGGTTGTTGTTTGAGAAGACTAATGTGTTTGACCGCCTGTGCGTTCCCAACAGCGAAGAGATCCGCAGTTTGATTTTAGGGGAATGCCACGATACTGAAGGGCATTTCGGTTGGCAAAAGACATTAGCACCCTGATGCGTGCGTATACCTGGCCAGGGATGAAGAATGACTGCATAGAGTATGTCCGCAGTTGTAAAGTGTGCCAGAGGAATAAGTCTACTACACGCGCGCCCCTAGGTTTTCTCAGACCCTTGCCTATTCCGGATCAGCCGGGAGACTCTGTGTCCATAGACTTCATGGACACCCAAGTCAAGAGTAGACATGGTAAGAGCCAAGTCATGGTCGTAGTGGACCGTTTTAGTAAATATGCAGTTTTCGTCCCTTTGCCTGCAGAGGCACGTACGGACTTATTTATACAGAAGTTTTTTGACTTTTGGGTTAGTGAGAATGGAATCCCAGTGTCAATAAATAGTGATAGAGACAGTCGTTTCACCAGCCAGAACTGGCAAGAACTCATGAGAGTCTACGGATCTAAGTTGTTAATGTCGTCCGGCCGTCACCCAGAGACTAACGGTCAGACAGAACAGATGAACAAGATCCTACAGCAAGTTCTGCGCATGTACATTAGACCAGATCAGATTAATTGGGATGAGATGTTGCCTAAGGTAGCTAGTGCATACAACAACAGCGTGCATCTATCCACCTGCCGCACTCCCAATGAGTTGCACAAGTCTTTAGACCGCGCAGACCGTTCGAAGGACTGAACCGGGATCAGATTCACAGATTACCGCCCGGTACCAGGGAGTTTGCGATACAGCACGAAAAGGAGCTAGCCACTGTTGTTGAGAACCTTCGGAAGGCCCAGCACAGAATGATAGAGCAGGCTAACAAGCACCGTCGCCCATCACAGTTTCAAGTAGGCGACTTAGTCTGGGTCAAAGCAAAAGAGTTTGCACCGGAAGAAAACATCTCGCAGAAGTTACTGCCTGCATATAGAGGACCGTGGCCGGTTCTAGAAGTCAAGGGCGGAGAGGATGGACCGTCCTACAGCATTGAGATTCCAGCACACCTCCACACATACCCTGTGTTTCATGCTTCAAAGCTGCTGCAGTGTGTCACTAGTCAACAGTTCCCTTCCAGGAGATCCATGATCCCACCGGATATGGATGGAAGCTATGACATAGAGGGCATTGTAGAAGAGGATGTGTTTAGGACAGGAGGTAGAGGTCGTCCCCAGAAACAGTATAAAGTCCGGTTTGCCTATCAAGAACCAGAGGACGACCGCTGGTTCACGAAAGCAGAACTTCTAGAGACTGCTCCCGACATAGTCAGAGCCTATGAGCGTGACAAGAAAGGTAAAGGAACCGGAAGACGACCGCTGGTTCACGAAAGCAGAACTTCTAGAGACTGCTCCCGACATAGTCAGAGCCTATGAGCGTGACAAGAAAGGTAAAGGTCCCGCCTTGGACTGAAATTTTCTCGGAGGACCTCGAATTTAGGACGGCGGGAGTGAAACTGTTTTCACCTTTTAGCAGTACCGGATGCAGTACCCAGGGTTCGATCCCTAGACCTCACCCTACCCATGTACAGTATCTGTGTAGACCCCGAGAATTGAACCTGTGACCTGTG